TCTCGTTATTGCACTCATGATTGGCACTTGAGCTCTCCTCCCCCATAGGAACCATAACCTCGTCTTCTTTCCCTTTTTTTATTCTCTCTATTTATTCCCTTGTCCTTTTCTCAGTCCGTCTCACCATATTCTGCTCTGGTTGTTGTGGGATATTCCCAACGGCCACTTTACTTATAGCACCCCAAATCTCATCATTTGTCATATTCAACAAATCATCTTTTTTGTCCTTTGCTTTCCGTACCCTCGTAGTGCTCCTCGTTGTGGTTTGCATGGCAGGGATGATGCTCATTTCTTGCTCCTCCCGTACCCTTCCTATTACGCCCTCTTGGTTAGTACCTTCCACATCAGCAAGGAGAGAGAATCGTGAGCCCATCGGATTCTGCCGTGCCGCTTCGCTTTGCTTGTCTCTGCTTTTCCGTTGCCGACGTAATTTCTGCACCACTTTCCATTGTTCTTCCATCAGTTCTCCATAGCCATCGACATTCATTTCCTGCTGATCGTCATCTATATTAACAGGGGCATTCATATCTTTTCCCGGGGCTTCTTTATCATCCTTCTTCAAAGGGCATCCCTCTTGCCGGTGGCCATATACACCACATCTTGTGCAAAGAAGGTGTAAACCTTCATATTCTAAGTAGTAGTTCTCCCCATCAACTGAAAACCCAGACATTAGTTGCTTAGTGAGATCCACCAAGACGCAGATTCGAGCATAGTGCCCTCTAAGTTGGCATGAAGTATTCATATCAATCTTAATAGTTTCCCCTATCCTGTTTCCAATCATTGTCAAAGCTTCTTTGTCATAATATTCCAAGAAAATTCTCGGTAACCTTACCCACACTGCAACTTTATCAATGCTTGCTCTATCAGACCGGAACTTTGGCTCCCATGGCCGAACTGTTAGATAATGATCAAAAATCATCCAAGGACCTCCAGTCAAAGCATTCCAGTAGTCCTCTCTATTCGAAAACTTCACCACATAGTATCCATAACCAATGTTGATTAGTTTGGTCACCCCTCTTTTTGCCCATATACCTTGCAACCTTGACTCCAGTGCCTTGAAACCAATGCTTCTGCCCAGCAGTTTTACAATCACAGCCCTCTTCCAAGCTTTATACAGCCGCTTCTTCATTCTTCCCGAAAAAACGAAAGTAGGAAAGTTCCTTTTGGGATCCTCAATCATATGACACAAAGGCTCATCATTCTCCTGATTCTGTTCCTTATCAGACAAAGAATCATCAGAAATTTCTTCAAAGTCCTCCTCTGTACCGTCTTCTTCATTAGGTTCAACACCCTTCAGCTTATCTGCAAATGAAACAGTTCCTCTGCTACTTCCAGTCTTCTTCTCACCCAGTGCAGGCCAATGCTCCGAGAGTAGATTCCCTCCCTGAGCATTATCCCCATTCTTGATTTTCTTAGAACTTCTCGTTATTAAGTCTTCTTCTTCTCTTGACTGAGGCACAAGCAAGCTTTTCTTGCTAGAGAGAATCAGAGCATTAGTCGCCATAACTTTTTTCTTTTGAACATTGTTATTTTACGACAACATTGTTATTTTGCTAAACGTGTTTTACCTTGAATAAACATCAGTGAATCAAATCAATAAAACTAGCAGCAATCATTAGTATATTAACATAAATAATGGAAGTTTATAATACAATACGCTTTCTCTAAATTATAATTTTTCCAAATTTCATATCCTAGTATAGTAAACGCAAATCGTGTGTGGTTACAGTGTGGACCACAGTTAATTTTGTTGACCAGATTGAGCTGCGTTAACAATAAACTTTATTCAGGTAACATTTTCGCAAGCGCAAAAAAAAAAAAGGGTCGGGTCGGATCTGGGAAAGCGCGCCATCGAGTCCGGTCGATGAGCGGGAAGAGCCTCCTTCGCCCTACTGGCGAGAACTTTTTATTTACATGACTTACTTTAATTATTAATTAGTTATCATTGTCTGTTCTTCCATTTGCTAATTTGAACCTGAAATTATGAAATTTAATAATTTAATGACAATTTATTAGTATTGAATTGGCAAAATTTGATTAGTATAGAAATTTAAATAATAAAATTTTCACAAATAATTTGATTATTACTAATTATTAGTGAGTGATAGGTTGATATTATTCTTGTTAGAGCCGATAATATGGGTTCAACCCGCAGGTTGAACCCGCCAACCCGCCAAAAAATACAGGTTAGGGTTGGCCTTTAACCAACCCGCCACCACACGAAAAATCTGAGCCCGCACCGTTGAAGCCCGAACCCGTGGCGAGTTGGCTCGCGGGTTGGCGGGTTCAACCCGCCTAATTTTTTTTTTTTTACAAATTGCAGCAATTTGTTAATTGTTATTTTGTTTGGCATATACTCCCATTCGTATCCGAGTAGGCGAGTCTGACCGTGGAGGTGTGGACCTGGACCAGTTTGTCGATTTGAAGAAATTGAAGCCCTACTCTGAAGTGTCTGAACGCTCCGTCTCTCACTCTCACAGCGCGGTCTCCTCTCTGTCTCCGGCTCTCCGCGGCTCTGCCTCTCAGTGACTCGGTCTCTCAGTCGGTCAGTCCCCAGATTGACAGATTCTCTAACCCAAAGTCCAAAGACTCCCAGCTCGGCAGCTTCCAAGTCCTGATTTCGGCGGTCGGTGCCATTGCTGCCATTCGCCCATTCCCCCCTCACTCGGTCACTCCCTCAGATTGTCAGACCGTGGAGCATTGAAGTCTATTGAAGATTTGTTGATTTGAAGCCCTACTCTGAACTCTCGGTCTCTCACAGCTCACAGCGTCCTCTCGTCGAGTAGTGTCCGTCGCGGTTGCCTCTCCGTCTCAGCGGCTCTGCCTCTCGGTCTCTCAGTCCTCACTCGCCTCCTTGGTTCCTCACGCCGGCGATCGACGACGACCCCTGCCTCTCATGGAGTCACGGTACGTTGGCTGACCTCACTGGCTCCCTCTGTTTTTTTTTTTGTTGAGTGTGAGCTAATGAGTTAATAGAGCTAATAGTTGTGTTGCTTCAGTGCTGACTTTACTTTTGATATGAGATTCTGAGTAATTGTGATTTTGCTGGTTTGTAAATATGTGGAATTGTTGAACTTGCGTATTTTTCTGAAGGCAAAAAAAAAAAAAAAAACTCTGGCGGGTTGGTGGGTTAGGGTTGGCAGAATACCAACCCGCCAGGGAACGGGCCTTTTGAGCCCGCACCGATCAACCCGTGACCCGCCACGGGCCAACCCGCAACCCGCAGGTTGGCCCGTTTTACCAGCACTAATTCTTGTGTACATAATCCACGTTATGATTTATGAACATTGTGAGTCACACACAAATAATACCTACACCTTTTAAATTCTGTGAAAGTATTTTCCTCAATACCTATATTTTGTAACTTGTAACTTAGACGTTGGCGTTGGCAAAAAAAAAAAAGGTTAGACGTTGGCAAAAAGAGTTGTGAGTTTTTTTTCTTACCAAAAAGGGGCTGCAAGGTAAACACAATAGTATTCTGAATTTTTGAAATATTAATGTAAAAAGTTTAAAAATTTTCTCCATGCTGTAATCTAAGATTTCAAAATTAAAATAATATATAATTTATTATTTTTTTGGATGGAAACCTGCTTTGAAGGGATCAAAGGAAAAGATATTTTTCCCAAGTGGATATTGGGGTGGAACCCAAATTATAATTTTAAAAATAATTTTACTGTATATAGAATAAATATATAATAAGAGTTTTATTTTAATTTATGCAGAGATTACCAAAGGCCCCTCAGTATCACAAATGTTCCCATAATAAATTGTCAATAACAAATTGCTCCAATGTCACTTGAATGAGGTTTTAAATTTCAGCATGATGAATTGATGCTGATATAGTCATGTAAAATAAAAAAAATTATACATGTTTAGATTTTTTTTTAAGTCAAGAGTTTAATAATTTATATAAAAGTCAATTTGAGTTGTTGGTAAAAAGAAAGTTAATTTAAGCCAAAAATTATATTTGAATCCGCATTAGTGTTTAATAAATTTTTTTCCAAAAATCAAATTAAATATAAATTCACATTTTAAAATGTTTAGAATTAAAAAAAAAGTATTCTAAATTAATTTACTTTTATTCCAATTTCAAATTACAAAATGTTACGAGACACTACCCCCAATTTTTAATATAAAAGCTAGTTTGACTTTTAATTTGATCATAAATATAATATCTTAATTCACTTTGTTTTTTATATTTATTCATTTTTCTCAAATAATTCTTATAATAGTTGTACATATTAAATATTTCATCAAATGTCAAAATTAATACACATGATTAGAAAAAGTATTCTGGAGAAGACATCATCTATTTATTATAAATAACTAACTTAACAAATTTTTCTGATATATTCAAATTAATTAACTAGTTTTTATATTAAGGACAATAGGTGGTATAAGAATTAGTTTAATTTTCAATTTGATTCAAAATATAAGACTCTAACTATTTTGTCTTCAATATTTATTCATTTTGTCCTCAAATAACCCTTCTAATAGTTGCCTATATTAAAGATTTACTATAATTCAAACACATAATTAATAAAGATATTTAAAAAATACACCATCTATTTACTATAAATAGTTAGCTTAATTAATTTTTTTAACCTACCTAAATTAGTTAATTATATGTTATATTAATAATCTGAGGCAGTATCATATTAGTCACTTTCTCGAACATTAATTTACACGAGTTCTTTGTGAACATCCACACTTGAGGAGGGAGGTTATAAGCGTCAATACGATGATGGGTTGATAGCATAGGGATATTTTTTAGTTTTGTAATTTTATATTAACTTCTTCTCTTTACGAACTAGATAAAGTTATAAACATTCATATTTGTCCTTTCCGATTAATTCCTTTTTTTTTGACCCGACGATTAATTCCGAACATTGATAATTTCCTCAACAGCCCAGATTCCATGAGAAGCCTCTTGTTTTTGGTACGAAAATTTAAAGAATTCGTTTCTTTTTTCTGCGTTTTAACATTTAAAAAATTTAAAAAGAAACCAAACGAATTTAGAGAGACACCTGAAACTTGATTCAAAGTTTTCCAACGCAAACTTCTGACGCCTTCATATTTTTATTTCATTAACTGTGCCTTCAATATTGTGTTTGCCCCTCTCTCAATACTCGTCCGAGCGAGAAAGGAAACCCTTGATCTGAAAGGCAATGGCTCGGCCTTCCAAGCCCCAAGAGTCTTCCGACGAACCGATGTCGAGCGGTTCGAGTTCGGAGGAGGAGGAGCAGGTGAACGATCAGATCAACGATGAGGAGGACGAAGAGGAGCTGCAAGCGGTGGCTCGCTCCGCCAGCTCTAATGACGAAGATGCTGCTGATGACAATTTGGTCGATTCCGATGGAGATGCACCCAGTGGAGATGGTGACGAGGAGGAACAGGTAAGACCGTTGCGTCCTCTGACTTGTTGTTTTGTGTACTGCCTGCTTCATGTCGTTTCAGGAAGTGTTGCGCTAGGGTTTGGCAGTGTGGATGTGGTGTTGTAGCCTTTTTCTGTGATGTCATGAAGTGTGGATGTGGTGTTGTAGCCTTTTTCTGTGATGTCATGAAATGTGTCACTGTTAAAAAAAGGAGTAACCATTCCGAATTTAAATTTTGCTTCTGTTCTCTCATTTCCATTTGGTTGTTATGAAATTTGTATCTATATGTTATCCAGTTCTGATTATATTTGAGTCACGTTGTTTCTATTGAAGAAAGAATCTTACTGGAAGCGTCACTGACCAATTGTTCAATTCAAATCATTATGTGCTCCCCAACTTCAGGTCGAAGGTGTTGTCGATCCTGAAATTGCTAGGCGGGAAAAGGCCAGATTGAATGAAATGCAGAAGCTGAAGAAACAAAAGATTCAGGAGATGCTGGATGCGCAAAATGCTGCCATTGATGCTGATATGGTGCGGGTGTACAGGATGCCTTTTCTTTATAGAATAGAATAATCTTATAATATTCAACCATATAATTCTTACTTAAAATGTAGAACAACAAGGGGAAAGGTCGCTTGAAGTATCTTCTACAGCAAACTGAACTGTTTGCTCATTTTGCAAAAGGTGATCAATCATCTCAAAAGAAGTCCAAGGGAAGGTATGGATGAAGGCCTGGTCTTAATGTTATCATTGTCATATGATAGCAGTTTTCATATCCTTCTCTGTTTGTGGGAATGATTTTTCAGTATTATCTCCTGGAGTTTCACGATATAGTAAATTTGCTTTGGTACTCTCAGGTTTGTTCAAAGAGTATGTAAAATTTTTTCCTAACACAAAAGGGATGCTTCGCTATAGTAGAAGACAGTAATGCGTTTCCTCACTTTCATCTTTTGATTGCTTTGTATATTGATTTATGATTTATTTATGGGCTTGAACCTTGGCCTCCTTATCTGATGAATGAGTGGATGGATTATCTAATACCATTTACAGATATGGCACAATTTTTCTGAAAATAAGCTAGCATTACGTTCCACAAGTACCCTTCTTATCTCTGAAGTGTTCTTGATGACTTTTGATATTTCGTTACTGCCTTTTTTTTTTTTTTGGCACAAGTTCCCTTTTGAATTCGATGTGCATTTCTTTTGTCATCAATTTTTGTAGTTTTATGGAGTGACTAAGAGTTGATGTCAAAAGAAATGGAGAACAGTAACTTGTATTCATTTCTAGGGGAGTTCAAGCAGGCATTGGCAAGCTGTTGTTAATCTGATCTTGACTTTGTAATATTTCTGAAGACCCCCAAAAAAAAAAAACCTTATGATGCTGTTAAATGTTATTTTTTATAGGGGTCGGCATGCATCAAAAGTGACTGAAGAAGAGGAAGATGAAGAGTATCTTAAAGAAGAAGAAGATGGATTAGCAGGAAATACACGATTGGTGATGCAACCATCATGTGAGTGTTCTTCCTCTCCTTTTTAAACTGCCAATATATGCTGGATAAGATTAAAATAATCTTAGAGCATCAGTATTGTCTTATTCTGAATGTGAAATACTATCAATGCTCTTGAACAGGTATTCAAGGAAAGCTGAGGGATTACCAACTTGCTGGTCTAAACTGGCTTATACGATTGTATGAGAATGGTATAAATGGAATTCTGGCAGATGAGATGGTATGCAAAATAAATTTGACTTGAGATGCATCATTATTTGGCATCATATAACCATAATTACTCTACATTGTGTGATTTGATAAAGTATTATGCATAAATAACTGGTAATTGCCAGGGGCTTGGTAAAACACTACAAACTATCTCCTTGTTGGGCTATTTGCATGAATTTAGAGGAATAACTGGTCCTCACATGGTTGTTGCTCCAAAATCTACACTTGGAAATTGGATGAATGAGATTCGGCGCTTTTGTCCTGTCTTGCGAGCAGTAAAGTTCCTTGGCAATCCGGATGAAAGGGTTAGACCAGCTTTACTTGGATGGCCTATTTTTGGTGAACTTTACTATCAATTCCTGGTTGACTCTTTCTTGTTGTGGTTTTTCACCTCTGCAGAGACATATCAGAGAGGAATTATTAGTTGTTGGGAAGTTTGATGTGTGTGTTACCAGTTTTGAAATGGCCATCAAGGAGAAGTCTGCTTTGCGTCGTTTTAGTTGGCGCTACATAATTATAGATGAAGCCCATCGAATCAAGAATGAGAATTCCCTCCTGTCCAAGACAATGAGGCTCTATAATACAAATTATCGCCTCCTTATCACTGGTACACCACTCCAGGTATCCCTTGATTCTTACAATCCACGGAATGCTGGCATTGAATCTTGTATAATTTGTAATAAACCTCCTCTGGGCATTTAATTTGTTTTGCGGTAAGCTGAATTTGATGGCTTCATTCTTTACAAGTGTGGCTAGTCATGAATTGGAAGAGGGTTGTTCTCTCTGTAATGTTAGAGGCAGGATTGTGTAGTTGGATCTTTGGACTTGGCTGGTTCATTTGTTCTTTGTTAACACTAATACAGTGGGACTTTGGAGGATATCAGTTGCTTGGTTTACACTGTTTGCTGTTTAGTATTTGCTAAGGCTTCTGAATTCTTTGCGATGCAGAATAATCTTCATGAACTCTGGTCTCTCCTCAATTTTCTTCTTCCAGAAATATTTAGTTCTTCTGAAACTTTTGATGAGTGGTTTCAAATCTCTGGTGAAAATGACCAGCAGGAAGTTGTTCAGCAACTGCACAAGGTAAACCTAGAACCTTTGATTGCAGAGATAGTCTTTGAGAATCTGATCCATGTTTAATATTTAATCTTTTGTGAATATTAAGGTCCTACGGCCATTTCTCCTTCGAAGGTTGAAGTCAGACGTTGAAAAAGGTTTGCCACCCAAAAAGGAAACCATTCTTAAAGTAGGCATGTCACAAATGCAGAAGCAGTACTATAGGGCTTTACTGCAGAAAGATCTTGAGGTTGTTAATGCTGGTGGAGAACGGAAACGTCTCCTGAATATAGCCATGCAACTGCGTAAATGTTGTAATCATCCGTATCTTTTTCAAGGTGCTGAACCTGGTCCACCCTATACGACAGGGGAGCATCTTATTAATAGTGCTGGTAAATTCAGTTTTTAACTTATATTAAAAGAGAATTTAGTCCATTTGGGTTGACCTATAAGTTTTGCAACTACTTCATGTTTCTTTTTAAAAAAATTCGTGTGCAGGTAAAATGGTTCTTCTGGATAAATTGCTTCCTAAATTAAAAGAGCGTGATTCTAGGGTCCTTATATTTTCGCAGGTTAGTTTTCTTTCAAAATTTGAATTTGGCCATGACAATTGTCTATTTGCCTTGAATTGTGCAACACGGTGCACAAATTATCATTTTTATTGCCTTCTGATACTATTTCTCTCTTGTTTTGTTCCTTTTTACTGCTGTTATTGCTAAACTTTGTGACTTTTAATTTTTCCAGATGACTAGACTGCTGGACATACTTGAAGATTATCTGATGTTTCGTGGATATCAATATTGTCGTATTGATGGTAATACTGGTGGAGAAGATCGTGATGCTTCCATTGACATTTTCAACAAACCAGGAAGTGAGAAATTTGTCTTCTTGTTATCAACGCGGGCTGGAGGTCTTGGCATTAATCTTGCAACTGCTGATGTTGTTATCCTTTATGATAGTGATTGGTGAGGTTTTTTTTTTTTTTTTGGGAGATCATGTCTGACCCAGTTCTCTGATGCGCATTTGTTCAGTAAATTTTTCATTTGCTGATTACTGTTAGGTTTATTTCAGGAACCCACAAGTTGACTTGCAGGCTCAGGACCGTGCTCATAGGATTGGCCAAAAGAAAGAAGTTCAAGTTTTCCGATTCTGCACTGAGGTTTGAATTTTATTCTATCTTTAGTTGTTAGTAATAGCTGTCTTTTGTGCTAAATACCATCACATCGTGCAAATGGAGCAGTACACGATTGAGGAGAAGGTCATTGAAAGGGCTTACAAAAAACTAGCCCTTGATGCTCTCGTGATTCAGCAAGGGCGATTGGCAGAGCAGAAGAGTAAGAAATTTCAGGATGATGTATCTCATCCTTTCCTGCCAAATGCACGAGTGTTTTAATGTTAGATTGTTATTATTTGTGCAGCTGTAAATAAAGACGAGTTACTTCAGATGGTCAGATTTGGTGCTGAGATGGTTTTCAGTTCTAAGGACAGTACAATTACCGATGAGGATATTGACAGGATTATTGCTAAGGGAGAGGAAGCAACAGCTGAACTTGATGCCAAGATGAAGAAATTTACTGAAGATGCTATAAAATTTAAGATGGATGACAGTATGAACCTTTAACTTGTAGTTCTAGTTTTTAATATGAAACTTGGAAGACTTCTTGTGCAAAATCGAAGCATTCTTTGCCCTCCTATTTGTTCTGGAATCCTATCCTCAATTAAGTCAAAATTATTGACCTGGGATATGTTGCTTATTTCATGCACTTAATAGCAAGACAGTTTGTTACGCTTACTATAGCATTTTTTATTGATTAAATATCCATAACAAGGGCTTAGGGGTGAGCATTATGATTTGTCTCGTTCACTTTCGGTTGATTTTGAATTTCTCATTGACTTTATATATTTTCTTTTGCAGCTGCTGAGTTGTATGATTTTGATGATGAAAAGGTAGAAATAACAGTTTATGTTGGATTTGACAACTGTCACACTGACACGTGCTTATGCTTATTTTGGAGGCTGTGAATTCATTTTCTGGTCTAAATTCTAATTGTAAATTGTAAAAGTTTATGCTATTATGAAATATTGAATAGGATTTGTTGTTTTCAGTCTTTTTTTTGGGCCCCCCCGGGGGGGTGGTCCTCTGTAGCTGACAGAATTGGTGGTTTATAGCTCTATTTGAAATTTAAGAGATTGCTATGGATATAATCAGTTTTTTATTTTATTTTAATATTGTTATAACTTTTTTCTTTAATTGATTTGTAGGATGAGAATAAAGTTGACTTCAAAAAAATTGTTAGTGATAACTGGATTGAGCCACCAAAGAGAGAGCGGAAACGCAAGTAAACATTTTCTTTTTTCATTTGACATTTGAAATTATAAAATTTTGTTTTTTCCTTATGAATTATGAATTGATTTTTCTTGTCTTATTGTAGCTACTCGGAGTCAGAATATTTTAAGCAAACAATGCGGCAAGGTGGCCCTACTAAGCCAAAAGAGCCCCGTATTCCTAGGATGCCTCAGCTGTAAGCATCTTATAAAACATGTTTTCTTCTTATCATGATACTTACTTTGTGACTGAAGTTGTTGCTTTCCTACCTATAGGCATGATTTCCAGTTCTTCAACACACAAAGGCTGAGCGAGCTGTATGAAAAGGAAGTACGCTATCTCATGGTGGGTATTTCTTAACATGAGCACTCATTTATTTGTCTATTGGGTTGAGTTTAATACTTAATGAAATTAATGAATTTTCAGCAAACACACCAGAAGAATCAGATAAAAGACTCCATAGATGTTGACGAACCAGAAGGTATGTTAATGTTCTCCAGGTTTGTCCCTTCTCATTTCCAAGCAAATTCTAATCATGGTAAATTGGACTGTAGAGGTGGGAGATCCCTTAACTGCTGAGGAGTTGGAAGAAAAGGAGCGTTTACTAGAGGAGGTGAGTGAATTTTGCATATAAACTGGACCTCCTTTTTGGGTTTTCTTATTTTAACCCTTATTTCCCTGTGGTAAATATAGGGATTTTCTTCATGGAGCCGAAGGGATTTCAATACTTTCATTAGAGCCTGTGAAAAGTATGGCCGGAATGATATAAAGAGTATTGCTTCTGAGATGGAAGGAAAATCTGAGGAGGAAGTTGAACGATACGCAAAGGTTTTCAAAGAAAGATATAAGGAGCTAAATGGTTAGTTAAAAATGTGAATCTAGTAATAATCTGTTAATATTGTGATGATGAAATTGCTTGTTAATCTGACTATTATCTTTTCCTTCACCAAAATCCTTGTCAGATGCTAAAGGTGATTTTATTAGTTGTAATCCCCAGTAATATTTTATAGTCATTTTTCCTTTTTGTTTTTGTACATAGCTAGAGGTTTATGGTAATTGATGTGGACTGCAATTGGAATCTGTCGTTTTCTGAACTGAATCTTGAAATCATTTTCGCATTATGATTTTGAAATTAAGTTTTGGACTGTGTCTAATGCTTGCAGATTATGATAGAATTATCAAAAACATTGAAAGAGGGGAGGCTAGAATTTCTAGAAAAGATGAGATTATGAAAGCTATTGGGAAGAAGTTGGATCGATACAAGAATCCATGGCTAGAGTTGAAGATCCAGTATGGGCAAAACAAAGGGAAGTTATACAATGAAGAATGTGATAGATTCATGGTGCGATTTCTTTTGTCCTTTTTACCTAAAAGATCATTTAATTTTGATTACTATGCATGCATGGTCCCTGTAGTCATTTTGATTTTGGTTATGAATTTTCAGATATGCATGGTTCACAAGCTTGGCTATGGGAATTGGGATGAGTTGAAGGCAGCATTTCGAACATCACCTTTATTTCGATTTGATTGGTTTGTTAAGTCTCGCACAACACAGGAACTTGCTAGGAGATGTGACACCCTCATTAGGTTGGTGGAGAAGGAAAACCAAGAATACGATGAGAGAGAGAGACAAGCTCGTAAAGAGAAGAAACTTGCTAAGGTTTGTTCCTGTTTATCCCCTAAAATGATAAGGACGAGAGAAGTCAATAGACTTTGCTTTTTGTAAGTTAGATCGCTGAAGCATAACTTGATGAATCTTTCAGAGCATGACGCCATCAAAACGGGGCTCTGCTAGACAGACTGACGGTCCATCATCACTAAAGAAGCGCAGACAGTCGACTATGGATGACTATGTTAGCACGGTTTGCTTTTTTCTCCCTTCTTTGTAGATCATGAATTATAAGCCTTCTTTGTATCGGGGAATTTTCTTGTGCATATACTGAATTGGACCATGATGTTGTGACAGGGAAAAAGGAGAAAATAAATGTAAATATGCGGCACTTAGTTACCTTGACTAAGGACAGGGTGGATTGTTTCTAAAGACTTGATTACTTAAACTGTGACCGTGATCAGGTTTGCCTTCTTAAGTCTGGTGATAGAAAACTTTTCTTTCTTTCTTCCCCCCCCCCCCACCCCCAATTTAGGTCCCACATGTGAGAGGTGGAAAGGTTAGTTAGGAAAAATTAAGGGGAGATCCAGGTGTTGGAAGGGTAATCAAGAATATAACACGTACTCATTACCATTAGATGGCATATTGATTTGTATTTTAGCAATCGTTGAAAAAGAATTTGCTTACGCGTGTAATATTTGTTTAACCCTGTCCTGAAATAGGAAATCAACTTAACCACACCTGTGAAGGGCTGCACTGCTTGCACATTTTGATTTTCCTATATTTCTTATATGGACGATAAATCTGCGCTTTTAACACAAACCTCGTCTAGATTTGCTTCGGGATTCTAAGGTAATTCTAATGTCCAAATATTAAGCTGGCATGATCTTTTTCTTTTTTGTCCCTGGAGGCTGTTTTGTAGCGTTTGATGGGATGAAATGGAACTCAAATATTAAAATGATTAGACTGGACTGAAACCTGGTATTTTATTGCTAGATCTAAATAGGTGGAGCAAAATAATTTAATGATTTATAAAAATTTTGTAATACGAAATGAGTCTACGTGTAAAGGGTATGTTTAAATTATTAGCTTGGTCCTCTATAGAGGACTCTTTTAATCGCTTCATAAGAATTCGGGAATTTGAAAGTATCTTAACCCTTTGTATTTTCAAAATAGTTGTCCGTAGACGTTGGAGATTTGTTCTCTTGATCTCCTAACTAATTAATGGGAATAATTAAGGACATTTTTATCAACAAAATGATGTGACAAATTATTTAAAGGTTATGAAAACGACCGTGCCAATTTTGTGGAGAGAGTTAGCTATTTGTATATTAATTTAATTTAATACACTGCGTATTATATCTTAGTGGAAAAACGAAGAAAACTGTTCACTATCTTGGATGAACCAAACCAAGTTCCTTGAACCGGAAGTCGCAATGCTTTCAAGTTTAATTTGTTTGTCTCTGTTCCATTCTTATTTTAAAACAAAAGGATATTTTTAAAGAAAAAGTCATTTTGGGTTTCAAATTTTTTAAGTTAGACTTCTACCTTTTTGTCTCTTTATTAAACCCTTCAGTTTGTTCTGATAAATATAAAGGTATGGTACCTGCAAACTCAAAATCACGATTTCCCCCCACCTTTATGCAACCAAACTCAAGGGATCCAATTCTCCTTTGCATGGCACTCAAATATCTTCAAAAACCATCAATAATCAATATTTCAATAGTTAATTAAATTCTTGTTGATTCGCGCGCGCTTACATCGATCAGGAACGAGTTCGCGTGCATAACAGGACGACAGCATGCGCCATGTGGAGTATAGCATAATAAACCATATTTTATAAGCCGAAATCACGAGGCTCAGACCATACGATAAAATTGAGACTGTACGATTACATGTCACAACAACAAAATCAACACAGTCACTAAAGCTCCCCCATTTACAAGCAAGAGGGGAAAAATTAGATGCCTTTTTCTGATCTTGCGTTAACATTTTGCACCATCCACGGATATATACTTCGATTCGAGTGCCTCAATCCACACTAGTTTCTCTCTTTTTCAATCGTCTGTGTTTCTTTTGACTCTTGATGAATAACTACCAGAATGATGCAGGAAGACTAGTCCAAGCCAGATCCATCATGACGTTTACTCCCACTCTCTCAGGGTAGTCACGAAACCAAGATGAAAAAGGATGACCCTCCTGCAAATCTGTCTCCCGACTCAATCATACATCTCTTCACTAGTAGATGAAAAGTAAAGTGAATCAAAGTTTTGGTGCTTTCACTCATTTGTAGCATCAAAGCTTCCCATTGCATTTGCCCGCTTTTTCTCTCTCCAATTTTCGCCCCATACTTTTGCTTCTGCGACTGCACGTTCTCTGTCCAGGTCACGGTTCCTTGGAGTTTCCCTAGTTCTTCCAGCACTTAGAGGGCTGTCTCTCTGAGAGTCCTGTCTTTCTCCATCATCCAATCCCCATCTTCTTCCTGAACCTCCACCAGTTTCAATCCTTCCCAAGCTTGTCCCAGCACTTGCATCCCTACCGTCTCTCTTCCTGTAATCAGGTGAGTTTCTATGGGTGGAAGGTGATCCATGATGTCGTCCATGATCAGGGCTATCTGAGCTATCTGCCATGTTCTTTCGATCCTCCTTGCTCCTAGGGGTTGATGGACCAACTCGGCTAGTATGACTGGATCCATTTGGATCATATGTCTGCGAGGCCAAGTATGTAAGAGCGGTCACAACATCTCCAATAAGAGGTCTTGTGGCAGCTTGTTCTTGCAAACACATAGCTGCAACTGCAAGTGCTTGATAGAGTCCTCGCATTGGATAACGGCCTTGAAGCAGAGGGTCAGCCATTGCAGGGAACTTCCTACGGTCTTTAAACAGAGGTCGTGCCTGGAAAGTTCCAATTATCAAGAGACATAAATGTAAAGGATGGGTACTCATATTTAGTGTTATATTAGTGACTCGTTGAAGGATTAACATCAAAACCAACATTCTGCTATGATTGACAAACTTTTAGAAGCAACAATAAAACATAAAGACGACGAGGTCAGAGACTTACCCATGCCACAAGATTATGCTCACCATGTGCGCGCGTATTATCAATAGCCTTGCGCCCAGTAATAAGTTCCAGGAAAACAACTCCAAAACTGTAGACATCAGACTTCAAAGTTAGCTGTCCAGTCATAGCATATTCCGGAGCACAATAACCATATGTTCCCATTACTCGTGTGGATACATGAGTCTTATCACCGACTGGACCAAGTTTTGCCAGCCCAAAATCTGATAACTTAGGATGAAAACCCTCATCTAGCAGGATATTGGATGATTTTAGGTCTCTATATATTACAGGAGGGTTTGCTTTGTCATGCAAATATTCCAACCCCTTTGCTGCTCCCGCTGCTATTTTCATCCTTGTATTCCAGTCCAGAGGCTCCTTGTCAGGCGGAAGATCTGTAAAGAGTCTCAGAATTTCAGTACACTATATGAGCTGATATCCCATCTGGGTCGATTTCATGTTAATGACATGCATAAATAAAAGCAATGACATGTGACATTGAAGTAACAAATGGTAAAAATGGACCTAACAAGCTTCAAAGTTTATTGAGGGATGAGATGCTTTTACCATGTTTGTGAACACAATGCTCTGGTTTTAGTCAATTTCACACTATTGAGTAATCTTTAATAGGGAACATTATACAAAATCTATATTTGGTGTAAATTCCTCTATGGGAAACATGCACATAAAGTATCATATTTATAAATTAGTCTGCACCAAATCGGTAAGTCTTCACCACCTAGAATATGCTTTGAAAATTCTGCAACATTAGCATCTGATTCATAATTAGATCTATGTAAAATTTGAAATGCAGTGAACAAAACAACCCATCATATTTTACAAGTCATGTTGATTAAAAGCATGTTCTTCTAAAAAGTCAGAATGTGCAAGTTTTGCAGTAGTGTCAGTTCACCCCAACCTGAAGACACACTTAGTATACACTTAGTGCAGTATTCAACATATTGCCAAACCTAAACTTCTATATATTAAATACTTTCCCCATCACTTGGATATGTCTTCCTACTGTCCATATTGATCATATATCGCTCAAGATTTACTAGCATAATAAAGCACACCTCCCACTGTCTACTGCCAGCGAGCTCTTGCTTTTTTTCTCTTCAAAAGCGGTGCCCAGGCATCTCTATACAGCCTCTGAACATCACACTTCCACTTTCTATCCCAGAGAACTCTTGCTTTTTCTTATTCAATGAAGCAGTGCCCAGCCAACTGCTTTCAACATACATCGCCAGTGGATGAGATTACAAACCAAACTCAATGCATTGGAATAGAAGCATTAAAAGCTACATAATGATTACTAGCATGCTCTGGTAGGATACTCATGGCTTTCACTAAAAAATGAACTTACTCATGGTTTTCACTGAAATATGATAGGATGCTCATGGCTTTCCTTTCTGCGATTATCATTGTGTGCTTTGTGATTTGTGATGTGCTGTTAGTGTGAGTTTATCTCTGTTTCAGTCTTCTTCCTACTCATTGGAGGAGACTGCCCAGTTTACTTCAGTGAGTTGTTAAAGTGAAAGAAGTTGACAATTTAGTAATCTTTCGTCTTTCATGGGGTAGGCTTCCTTTTCTGCTGGGCTAGTTCCAGTGCTCAAGTTTCAATTACATGCTTCATAGTTGCAGAGTGTCACAATCCCTATCCTTGTGATTCAATTTGGAACCAAATCCATCGAGAATTCAATTAAACCCATAAGTTATTGATTTCTAAAACTTTTGGAAGAGATGGAACTCGAATTCTTCATTATCCATGTTGCCATTCCAGACCTTAGCCCAAGAGAAGGACAATGACTCTTACATTGACTAGAAAGTGAACTCTCCGTAAAACTGGAAATGTAAAGAAGAAATAGAAACGAAAATGGATGTTGAGCACCCCGCTCCTGGTATTTAAAAGATTGGGACACTCCTGACACCAGAATCTCTGTATCTTCTCAGATCCTACTGCTCCCAAATAATGCCTCTTCTCTGCTCGACGAGATATAAAATCAAATTGTTATATTGGCTAATAGATACAACTCAATTCAGATGAATTCCTGATTTTGAGTGGCTGCAAACGCACCCTCTGGGATTAGGATTCTATACCTCATTTTTGGAGGTTAAGTACTTATAAGTTCATTTTGACTTCTAAATGCTTTCTTCTAGAGCAATTATCAAGTTTATGAATGTTGGCAGCATATTGCTGCTCTCTTCTGGGTCTTGCGATCAAATAAAACCCTTGGCGTGATGCCTAGACCAATTTCCTTCTCCATAGCTATTGTTCTGTCTGCATTAATTTTCTAAGCCAACCAAGACCTATTCTCTATGGCAGACAGCCCTATTAATTAATCCTATGCAAAACCTAATCCCCTGGCTGTCACCTCTCTACTTGAGTACTAGTTGCCCAGGCATCTCAGAATTGACATCCCTATGATAACAGCAACATCATGCATAATAAGTTTAAGCATTAAATATCATAACTTGCTAGCATCCATGTAGCAGCAGTAATGTCTAACATCTGATAATTTGAAGTGACCATTTATAACCCACATTTCATTTGTCATGATGGTTTCATTCATTTAATGAAAGCCTGAAATGTTTGTCCAAAAATAGTTTTGTATGATACCACTAAATGTAAGCATGAGCAACCATTCAACCAGAATCTACTGATTCTGCTTCACTAAATACCTTTCAGTTCTATTGTTCAACCTCAATCTTTTTTCGTTCTTTAACATCTAATACGTAGTAAAAATCAAACAAAAACAAAATTTTAACTTTTGAAAGCACAATAAGCCTGGCACTACTAGTTACATAACAAAGGAATGCGATCTAACCATGTAGGTGATCCTCCAAAGACCCCAAAGGCATAAATTCATAAACAAGCAGCCGCTGATCCCCATCAGCACAATAACCAATTAAGCTCACAAGATTTGGGTGATGCAAGAGGCTAAGCATGAGCACCTCCACCAAAAACTCTCGATTTCCTTGAAGGCCATTGCGGTCAAGCTGTTTTACAGCAACAACCTGTAAAAAGATTATTCCATCAACATAGATTATGATACAGATAGAGGAAGGGAGAGATACATTAATGACTGTATAGATATCCGTAACAGACAACTACTAGAATCCATGCCCAAAATGTATGGCACGATGATGTGGTCTTGTTATTCAACAACAACAATGTTTGCAGCAGCAATCACAACTTACTTGCCCTGAGCTTTCAAGCCGGCCTTTATAAACGCGTCCAAAACCACCTTCACCTAATAAAGATTCAGGCCTGAAATTCCTCGTGGCAGCTGCAAGCTCTCGAAATGTAAAAGTTTGTGCAGCAATGTGGGCAGTTGTTCCATCCTTTTGAACTGGCAGTTCCTTCTTAGAATCAGAGCCACTTTTTGATTTCGACTTATCTATGTAAATGATTCAAAAATAAGCAAGAGGGAAAGAAACCCGGCCGGGGGGGAGGGATATTGGAGAAACTATAAAACAAATATGAAGAGGAGATGTTGATTATGCAATTATTGCAGTCATATAAAGATTAATGGCATAGCATAGAATACTTGGGAACAGCGGTTACAGTGACCATATGCTGCTTCATTGTAGAATATAGGTCGTAGCATCTACATTTGGAACAAAAAGGATTAAGATTTTCTTGTGTAAACATCATATCATCTGTCAGAATATGATTCAACTAATATGAATAATCCACAGCTATACAGAAGCGCAAATAGTATGCCTGAATTGTTGACTTTCAGTTTATTTCTAAATAAGCTAACCAATTATCTAGACAATGCATTTCATGATTCCTATAGAAACGCAAAGCATCTTGCTCAAAGTTATATCCAGCCACAATTTAATTTTATAGGGGGTCAAATAATTTACTCAAAATGCAGATTAGCATCTCCACCTGCCTTGTACATGGTGACTGTAATTTAATGAAGCATGTTATCAAACAATGTGAAAGCTTACTAAATTTGACAGCCACGGTCAGATCTCCCACTTATATTATACCTTGTAATAAGAATAAGAGAGTATTACACAGAAGTAAACAGACATCCACTGGCCATCAAATCCTTAACAGTAGCAGTCAAAGTACAGTCGTCAGATGAATTAGATCAGACTACCCATTAATTTTAACCAATATGCATCATCATAAAACTAAAAAAGTGAGCAAAAATTGCAAAATAAAACATATTTTAAGCCAATGAATTAACCAAAAATTAAAGCCAGCAAAATTTTGTTGAAGGAAGCTTCCACATTTGTTCAGACCTGAGCTAACCCTATTGACGTGATGAGACTGAGCAGCTGAACCTTCCCTAAGAGAATCCTTCTTGACCACTTCCTTCTTCACCCCGCTGTCCTCCTTGTCAAAACAAGGAAAACACCCACCCATATCAAATGCGCACACAAATCAGAGCCACCCTCACAAAACCCAGAAAGGAATAGCTCACATAACAAAGCCCTCAAAACTCCAGATAACCTTGAACAATTCGTTTCCCCAAAACTACTCACACAAACCCAAACGAGAAAATTCAAACAATTACTGCTTTTTTTCTTTGTCACTGACCCACTCTAAACCACAGCTCACTCAGGTGGTGCCACTAGATGATTTTCGTCGGCAATTAAAGGGAAAGATCGGGAACAACACGCCGGAGTATCAGATCAACCAATCGAAGAAACTGATGTGGCGTAAGAAGGTGAAGGAGGAAAAAAAGAAGCTGAAAATAGATATGAGAACTGATAGTGTATCACATAAAAGAGAAATGAGGGTGGAGAATTTCGAATTTAGAGTTCGGGTGTTAAAATTAGATTCGAGACTAGATGAATTAGAAACGGAATTGTTCTTGCATAATTCCGTGGAATTTGCATGATTACGAGGTTGTAATGATTTTTCCCCGTCTTGTTGAATTCTTACCCCTCCAAAGCGGAATAATTACGTGTGTGTATTAACATAATTACGGTGGAAAAGTGGGTCCCACCGGCCGGATGTGCCCTGAACATACTCACCGCGTTTTCCTTATTAAAAAAAAAACCAAGTTTTGAATAATAAATACTACGTCCTATTTATAAGTTTTAAATTTAAAAATAGATCTAACTTATTTTATAAATTTTTTAAAATTTATTTTAATATTTAATATATTTTTAATTATTTTTATGTTGTTATATTTTCTCACATATTTTTTTTTATTTTTATTATTTATTATCAGAACAGAGTTGAAAACAAAATTTTATTTTTAACATATTTATTATTTTAAATTAATTTTAATTAATTAATTATTATACATAGATTATTTATTTACAATTTATAATAAAGAGGGGAGGAATTACTTTTCTTCAGCCATGTTTTATTTTTTTTTTAATTTTTTGATTTTGTATAAAAGAGAGGATAAAGATGGAGAGAAACTGAATTTTTGTTTGGCCTGCAAGATTTTACTTTTTAATTACATAGACTAAGATTTATATATCTAATAATTAAATAATAAAAAAAAATACATCTTTTCAAGCTTAAATGTACTCCCATCGAAATTTATTATAAACTTCAAATAATTAATTCAAAATTTATTATAAGCTTCAAATAATTGATTTACGAATAATGAATAATTAGTTAAAATTAATTAAAATTAATAAATAGGTTAAAAATATTTTTTTATTTTTAAATATATCTTTATAATAAATAATTAAAAGGATGAACGAGTATGAATAGAAAAACATGATAAGGGAGTATAGCAAAGGAAAGAGAATAAATAATTAAGAATAAAATTAAAATATATATTAAATATTTAGATAAATTTTAAATTGAAGCTTATAAAATAAACCACACCTCTCTTCAAATTTGACGCTCATAAATAGGATAAGAGGGATCGGAGTATGTGCTCAATACCTAATTAACACATTTATGAAAAAATTATGCACTTATTTTTTTAAAATACTATTTTTAATTATTTGCATTGAAAATTATAAATTATTTTAATATCTATAATTAACACAGAAAGAGAGTTAAGAAAAAAAATATAAATTTGAAAAAAAATATAGACTAATGTTTTAGAATTAGAAATAGTATCAGAAAAGATACAACTTTTTGTTCACCGAATTTAATAGAATTTCATTACTTTTCTGGTAAATGCGATCTTGATCAGTATCTTTTTTTTTTTTTTTGGGGTTCCTTTATTGGCTAAATGATCGACATAGCGGAAATAGTTGAATTTTTTAGTACTTTTGCATGTGACGATTAATTTGATTCAAGCCAACGCAATAGTGAGGTCAATTTGGTGAATTAACTTTCTTTAATTTATGTGTGTTTCCAATTTTGATTTTTTTAGTTGCCAGATTTCCTCTTGATTTTTACCATAAATGTTAAAATCACAGGGTGCATGAATGTGGATAGAAGGCATAATTTTATATTAGGAAATTAAACAAAAAAAAATGTATCATTTTGATGATATTTACCTTTTTCTCTCACATCCTTCTGGTTTTTATTCATTCCATTTTGGACCACTGAATTATCCAATCAATTTTTTTTTTTAAAAAAAAAAAGTTACCCTGAATTTCGCTTTTCATTCTGCGAACGGCATATCTTTTGGTGACATTAACATATTTTATTACCCAAGGAAGAAAATATTATTATCTTTTTACAATAATTCTGCAAGTAATTTATTTGACCTTTAAGTTCTGAGGGCAAATTTGATCAAACGGTTTCTTATCTCATTTTCATGATGAAATTAAATTTATATATGTTATCGGTATATTTTTTTATTAGAACCTTCAACTTCCAACATATTTTTACAAGAAAAACTTTAAATCTCATTAACTCTATTTTAAAATTTAATAATTTGTCAACTTAAAGGAATGGGTGAGAATTGAGAAATCCAAAAGCAATGAATTTTAAGAGTAAAATTGTGTAATCCATACAATAAATCTAAAGATGTAACTTATATTAGGGGCAAAGAAATATCCCACTTTCACCCCATAAATGGAACCAAGGAGTATATATTACTCCTTTAGTTCTAAATGTAAGATTTATTTTGTAATGTAAATTACACTACAAAATAGGTTTTATATTTAAGACGGAAGGGAGTATATTATATGAAATTCACAATCAACTTTTTGTTGTTTTTTTTTTTGGTGGAAATGGATGACAATTTTATTATCACAATCAACTTGTTTTGATAGATTCAAAGAATGCTGATTAAGTTGCTCAACAAGTTTAGGAACCATCCACATGACGTTCAGTGATGAAAACACCTACCAGCAATAAAAATTATTTTTAATTATTTGGCCTCCTCCATTATCATCTAATCATAATTAAACACTTAACACATTTGGAACACTAAAATGCTTACCTACGACACATTTAAGAATAGAGACAGCTGATCACTTGTGTGTCAACCCTGCAATAAACATGAAAAGTGATATGTCTTTTTCATATTGTTCTAAATATGATTTTTTCCCCCTTATCAATTCAGTGGGTCATATTGTATTTGAATTAGTCTCAATATGCTAATTCTGTAGTCTTTTTTTATAAGTTACTTTCAACATATTTTATATATACTAAAACAAATCTTAAAATTTATTAACTTTACCTTAAATTCAAACAACTTTTTAATTTTATTTCTATCTAATATATATTATACCTCATAAGAACGAAATCAATACAATAATAAATGAAAGATAAAATTATAAATATATATATATAATTTCTCCATCTACCTCATAAATAATACGAGAGGAGTATTGCGGAGGAGGAAAAAGTTTTCTTTCAACGTTTGCTTTTTTATTATTTATAGTTCTTGAACTGAAATTTTAGTTTAAAAAGAAAATCGATCTCTCTATTTTTAATTGCTGTTTAATAAATTTGCTAGGACATAATGATTTGTATTATTAACCAAATAGAAAATGTTGCATGGTATGAGAAAGACACAGCATGTGTCGTTAGTTATGTGCATTCATGTGTTATACAGATGTTAACAAGCCAGTTCATCAACCAAACAAAATATCACAACCATGCATCATTAATTATGATTTAAGATTATTTTAAAACTGATTTATTTTTTTGGTATTTAATACACTTAAACGCATACGCACATATAAACATATCAATACTGGGTTCAAACCCAGCCCTTCTTGCAAACATGGCAAGTGGTATTATCATTATTAGAAGTAATTTTGTTTTAGTTATATGCATGGGATGATAATTTTGGTTTTACATGTACATATAACTAATATGTACTTTTCCGATCCTTAATATAAGATCTATTTAACTAATTTGATTAGATTAAAGAAGTTAGGTAAGTTAGTTAATTATAAAAAATGTGACATATATTTCCTAAAACACTATAATCATCTTTTTTTATTATGGTTGAGGGAGTATCTATAAGGGTACTTTAGAAAAAATTGATAAATATGAGAAATGAGTTTTATATTTAGGACCAAAATCAACTCAATAATGAGTCATATATTAAGGGCCAGAGGAATATATTTGTATAAAGTTAATTTTTCTTCTGGATTCTTACACAGACGGGAATATATGTATACATGGATTGCTTTCTCCCTGTAGGTGTATAATCTCCTTTTTTTTTTTGTAAAAGCAAAAAGTAGAAGGATATGATTAACCCATGCAATAGCAAATATATGACACATAAAACTATATCCTTCCTCAGTTATCCTATAAAATATAAGTATTAATTACTTCTATTGCTATGTATGCAGATTACAAGGATTCATAAGGACTTTGCTTGAGTTGAAATCATGGTGGCTCCAAAATTAATAGTTTTTAGAGATTCTACAGAAACTTTGCATCTCATAAATAACAACATAGAATCATCCCTTTGTAAAGGCTGTTCACAAAAATCTGCAATCTTTTCATGCGTGGCTAGATTGTTAGATTTGATCTCATCTCAAGAGAAATAAATTGTTGCACCAAATTCTTTGACTTGCCAGGGTCATTGAATGAGTGTTGACATTGTCATTGTAAATATTCTTCTTATGAAGTACCATTTCTGGTTTTTAACACTACTTCCGATCCTAATTATAAGACTTTGTTTATAAACTATAAATAAGGTCTTATAATTAGGATCAATTTATTTGATTTTTATTTTGGTCCTAAATATAAGATCTCACTTTATTTTATCTATTATATTTATCTATTTTTTTCCCAAAGTAGTTATTATAATAATAGTAGTTCTAACTAATATACTTGATTAGTAAATATATTTTAGGAAAGATAACACATATTTATTACAAATAACTAATTTAATTAGTTTTTTAATCTACTCAAATTAATCAATTAGCTCTTATATTAAGGACTAAAGGTAATACAATGTATTCTTCGGGTTCTAAATATAAGACTCATTTTGTAGTGTAAATTATATTACAAAATGAGTCTTATCTTTTAGGATTGCAAGAGTATCATTTTCTTTCTCTTTAAGGTTTCAGTCTTAGCCTCTTAGATTACTATTAGCAAACTAGTCCTTGCATATTTTACGGTAATCTTTTGTTTTTTTTTTTTGCAAATAAAAATGTTGACTATTTTAAAATAATAAGAAATTTTTTTTTAAAAAAATGGTCATACCCTACAAACCATGTTACCAATTTTAAAACAGCATCGGAGGAGGTAAAATAATTGGATGTTGAAGTAAATATGACATAATAATACAGGTCACACCTCACACCCTTAAAAAAAAAAAGAAAACAAAAGGTACAATAATGGCGAGACGCCATGTGACGCAGAATTTGAAGGCTGTGAAGGACATCCAAGAACAGAGGTAAGTCAATGACCAAATAATAAATAAATTAAAATGAGAATCCAACAAACACAAAACAATAAAAACAAAAGTCAAACGCCCCCCACACGCCACGCCATTC